TAATTTCTCCTAACTTACTTTTACCTAGGTAAGTTTGACTAACCTCCTCTACGTGGCAACATGCCATTGGCCTACCTAAACCTTCTAGAAGCTTCCGGAATCCAAGGTTGAGGTGGCGACATGCCATTGGAAGCTTTTAAACTTCTACAAGCTTCCTAGCCACTAAGTCAACATTAGACTTAGTCTAGCCAATCATCTTTCATACATTTAGTCAAACCAATCAAATCCAAGTTTCTAGTCAAATATCTAATCCCTTGGAATCTAGAACTTTTGTATAAGACAAAATAGAAGTGCTCACTCCTTGTAAAGGACAAAATAGAAGTGCTCACTTCATTCTTCTAGAACTCCGCTAATTACTCCGCCAACTATAGACATTGTAGCTAAACTTAGTCATGACTAGATAAACTTAGTTATAACTAACTAGTTTAGTCATAACTAGCTAGTCTTAGCTATGCCTTGGCTAATCATCCTTATTCCCTTGACCACTTCTAAGACTTAGTACATATGTGCAACACCCGGTCTTACAGTCCGCGCATAGGACAAAACTTTCTTCGCCTGTGCGTAGGCGGAAAGCTAAGTATCTTACAACCTTCATAACTCCCGGAGTCCTCATCCGTTGTTGGCGCTCTTGGGCTCGTTGGAATCAACGCGTCGAGCTCTTTCCAACGAAACCCTAACCAGGTCGAGTCGTTTGGAGGTTGACCTAAATATGAAGGATTTTCCTACCGCCGAGGGCGCAGCGCCGAAGGCGGATTTTGCGCCTTGCGCCGAAGGGATCATACCTTCAGAGCTCGCAGGGAGGGTGGTGTCCTTCCTTGACGCTGCACCAAACTCCTAGATTCTACGAGTTCCCTCGAGAATCTCTGCGATCTTCCGAATTCACTCTATTTTGATGCACCGAAGGCTATTTACACTGCTGCCGTGGTACAGTTTTCCAAAAATGTTTTAATTTCCTCCAAATTACCAAAAGTGGGGTACCACAGAAATCCTTTAGTATGTGTAAGAATTTGATTTCACTTGGAGTTTTGGACTTGAAAAAGTTCAAATGGAGCATCAAAAGTGAAGTTTTGAGTATGATGATTCCAATATTCTCATAAGGAGCTCAAGGCTTAAAAATCTATACATCTTGGAGTGAACAATCATCTTTGAAGATGCACATGTTACTACATTTTCATGTTTGATTTTTCATTTGCGGCACAACCAACTGGAACACATGAGAGAAAAAAATTTTACACAAACAAATTTTATTGCCCAAAATGAGGCAATTCAAACAAAGCTTTTGTGAACATTGTGTATTTGGCAAACTAACAAAAGTTGCATTTCACGTTAAAAGTGCATAGCTCAAAAAGTATTCTTGATTACTTTCGTTCTTATGTGTGATATCCTTTCCCTTACCCTCACACTGTGGAAAACTATACTATGTAATCTTTGTGAATGACTATTTGAAATTTGTGTTGATTAATTTCATGTAACAGAAGTCTGAGGTCTTTGAGATTTTCAAGAATTTGAAGCTTCAAATTGAGATTCAGAACCGAGAAAATGTGAGATATTTGCGCATAGATTATGGCGTGGAGTATAACTCAACAGAATTTTAGTTGTATTGCAAAAATGAAGGCGTTATTTGTCATCTCACCACACCGTATAATCCGGAGCAAAATAGTGTGTCTAATACTCTCAACCGTACACTATTGGAGCGCTCTCAAACTATGTTGAGTCTTGCTGGTTTACCACATACATTTTGGGCTGTAGTTGTGAATATCACAAGTTACTTGGTTAACCTGTTTACTTATAGCCCTAACAAGTTCTACATCGATTGCGATACAAACGGCTAGATGATTACTCTATGTTGAAAGTTTTTGGATGTGATGTTTATGCCCATACTTCAAAGTATAATAGAACTAAGTTTAATCCTAAAGCCAAGAAATGTGACTTTATGGGTTATCAAAGAGGAGTAAAAGAATATAGGTTTGAAATGTCAATGCTTTCAAATCATTGTCACTAGAATTGTTTCATCAATGAATCCAGATCATTGAATGAGAGAAAGAAATGCATACTCTCCTTACTGACGAGGACAAGACTCTTACCCCTGACACCGTTGAGAGTGAGATTGATATTGACACCATTGATGATTGGCCACAAGGAGAGGTTCCACCTATTGTGAAACAAGAGGATTTGATTGTTGGTGAACCATTTTTAGAACAAGCACAAATTGATCAAGTAGAATCTTCATCAATGTGGGAGTTGTGGAGTGCAACTAAACGTCAAGCTCCGGCTAGATTTGGCACTTGGTTTGACTCTTCAGCCATTGATGATATTGAAGTTGATGCTAAGAATTCAGATTTGATCACTAAAAATGAAGATCTACCTTTTTTCTCTGAAGCTTTAGCTTCTAGTGAGAAGCAAGAGTGAAATGCAGCAATGCAGAAGGAGATTAAGTCACTTCATGTCAACAACACTTGAAAGCTTGTTGAGTGTATCCAAGGTGAAAGAGTAGTAGATTGTAAGTAAGTCTAAGGAAGAAGTATGGACTCACGAATACAAATGAGAAAATCTTCAAGGCTAGGTTGATAGCCAAGACAACGCAAAGGTGTAGATTACACTTTTGCGTTTTTTGCGATTTTTGCACCAATAGCAAAATACTCTACAAAATGTTTGCTATGTGTCCTTGTGATTCTATATGATCTAGTGTTTGATCAAATGATAGTTGTCACACACTTTTTTGACATACTATTTGATGAGATAATATTCATGCGACAATTGCAAGGTTATCTCATGACAGGAAAGAAAAACATGATATGCAAATTGCTTACTTTGTTATACAATTCAAAGCAAAGTCCAAGACAGTGGAATAAACGCTTCAACGACTTCATGCACTCACAAGGATTCTTATGAAGTGAATACGATCCTTGCGTTTACTTGAAGAAGATTCTTGATGTGGCATTATGTCTTGTTTGTTGATGACATGTTTATTGCAGCTCCTTGAAAGTTTGATGTTGATAAGTTGAAGGCTGAGTTGAGCTCAACTTTCAGCATGAAGGATCTAGGTCCAATCAAGAAGATTCTTGGCATGAAAGTATTTAGATATCAAAAATCAAGGAAGCTTTGATGATCTCAACAGAAGTATATAGAGAAGTTGCGAAGTTCAATATGATAGAAGCTAAACTTGTGAATACTTCATTGGTTGTTCATCTTTTACTTTCAGTAACGCACTGTCCTACCGATGTGATTGAGAAAGACTTCACATCTTATATCTCTTATGAGAGTGCAATGGATAGTCTCATGTATATGATGATATGCAGACGACCGGATATAGCATTTTTTGTAGGTAAGGTGAGCATGTACATGTCAAATCCATGCAAGGTGCATTGGGAAGTAGGGAAGTGGATACTTAGGTAATTTAAGGATTCTACATAACATGGTTTATTGTTTGATGTCAAAGCAATGAATGCCAAGTCAACTTTGGTATATATGGATGTTGATAATGGGAGAAGCTTGGACAAGAGAAAATCAACGACTGGGTATGGTTTCACTCAGTGATTGCATTACTTGGCAACTAAGAAAAAAAATGCATCTTTTTGTTATCCACATAGGTTGAATATGTTGCAGCAGCAGAGACAACAAAGGAAACAATCTAGTTGAATAAGCTTATGGCTGAGATAGTATTGTCACAGCAATCTTCATTGTGATAGTGAGAGAGCGCTTCATCTGCTGAGAATCCAAGTGATGGTTAGTAGGGTGAAGCACATTGACATCATATATCATTTTATCAAGCAAATTGTGTCTGAGAATGAACTTAAGCTCATCAAGATTGATGGAGAGCTTATTTCGGCTAATGATTTTCCTAAAGGGATTCTTTATGATAAGTTTTCAAGACACCTAGCAACTTTGAAGATTTTGCAGCATTGAATTAGATTACATGATAGTTTCTATGTATGTAGTTTCTCTCTAACATGTTGTCAACTACAATTTGGTTAAAAAAAAAAAAAAAAGTTAATTAGAATTAACTTTTTTTCACAGGCAAAAAGCTATGATTTAGTTTTGCTTTCTAGAAATTTCCGCCAAACTATATATAAATTATAAAAACTACTTCCTCGAATAGTTGAATTAAAGAGTAGTCTTTAAGATTAATCCGTGTTCTGTTAATCGTAGTTAGTTTAACCGTAGTTAGACTTGGTTTTTAGTTAGGGTTTGTAATACTTAACCCTAGTATGAACACGTTTCAGTTTAGTCTCACATGTACACCTACGGGGAGAGAGAGATAATGGAGAGTTGAGCTATGGAGTCATGGTATAACATTCTCGCTTTAGTGAAATTTTTATCTCGGTTATGAATGTAGCCTCATGTAGAGTGGAATCACATACATTGGTGTGTTATTCTCCTATAATCAACACATCACATCTGTTGTAAAATTAGACATATAAAATGAAATTATTTCATATAAATATTCATGAGACATCAGTCTAATACTCTATGTCTCTATGGTATTTCCAGATCTGACTTTTAAATATGAAATAACAAATAACAATTTTCAGTTTCAACTTTTGAGGGTGTTGATTATTTTATCAAATAACTGTTGCTAGTTATCAAACTTGAATCTTTTGTATTGAAATTTGCAACTCCCATGTTGCTCTTTAATTCACGATCTTATGTATCTTAATTCCATCACATATAAAATTAAACTCAAAGTGTCAAGTAAATGAATTGAAAATCTTATAGTGAAGAATAATGACTGTAGATAGAATGGAGGAGAAAAACCTTCTAATTTTTTAATACAACAATTAGACAAATTTAAGAAATATGGATATACTCTAAATAATAAGTTCTCAATTCTTTGTTGAAATTAGATAGAATGTTACCTGAGACATTTATTCTTAAATATCCAAACAGCACTATTGTCAACCCATGTAGATTTGTTGGTATCATAAGTCTATTTTATTATAGACTTATGGAGGTAACATGCAATTTCGTTGAAACTTAACATTACTGTTTACAAATCTCGGTTGACAAAATGGGGTCGAATTAAAGTCTACACTCACAGGCTAGTTAAGAACTCCGCATGCTGGCCATACGGCATTAAGAACCGCGCCATGGATGTGGGCCACGGAACAGAGTTCGCGGAGACAGACAGCTGCATGCTCCAGATTCTCTTTACATCGAGCTCGCTCCGACGGACTGGAACGATTGAATGCCAACATCTGCCGCGGCCGTCGGAAGTCGAAGAGAGGGAGCGAGTGAGGGAAATGGCCGTTGCCGCGGCCATCGGCAACATAAATGCCAGCACGAAATCGAGCATGCAGACTGAACCCATGTGTCATCGGCACCAGAGCCAATGGAGGGAAGGGAGGAGAGGAGAGGAGCCGGAACCCTGGCCTTGCATTCTCAGCCTCGTCGCCCTCTGCACTTTGCAAGAAATTGGAGAGTGAGGGCGAAAAGGTAGCTCTCAGATCTTTCCATGCGAAGGTGGTCACGTCTGAAAGAGGAAGGAAGGTTGTACGACACAAATCTCTTCAAGAAATAAGGTCGTGCTGACAGGGGACAAATTCTGGGGAGAGCGGCTGGGCTGGGCTCGAGGTTTCATGTCGTTGGCGTGTTCTCTTCGACGATGATTGGTAGTGAGTCCGAATCTAACGTCCGGAAGTCAAAATCGGTATCGATTCCGTGTCAGCTCTCTTCTCTGAGGATGCAAGTGCGGCTTGCCGTAGACCAGGCCCTGCGTCTGCCTCGAGCAGCATCAAAATCATGGCGACCTTGGGTGTGAAATAGAGTCCAATGCTCGAACTTTATAGGCCTACACACAACCGATTTGCCGCAGCGGCAGATCGCACCTTTTGTAAGTTCCCAGCTCGTCGATAGAGCCGCTCAATTGGTGGGAGCGTGGATGGAAATATCAGGTTTCATAAGAATCTACGTCACCTATAATGAGCTCACAAGATTATGCTGCTGTTGTTACTGCTGCGTATCGGCAAGTGCTTTTGATATGTTCTGAGATTAGAATCATCGGATTCTCATGCCTGCTAACAATGCCTTCTTGGTAGATTCGTGCTGGAAATGAACTTCAGATATTCATGCTTTCTTACCGGCTTGTCCCCCGTCGCAATCGACCTACCGACCGACCCAAAATGTGCATCTTCGACGTTAAACAATAATTATCTATACTCACTTGCCCCGCGCAGGATTTGAGATCTCAGCTTTCTGGATGCCATTGGCTGCACTGATAAACTACAATGACTTTACATGCGGCATTGTATCTTCTCCCACTACTGCCATAATGCAGATATGTATGATACCGGGTACAAGACCAGGAGTCATGCGATATTTCCAGCTCACTGTAAAACCTCCAGCCCATCTGCTGCTACCTCAACAGCGTATGAGAGCGTTGATTCCGTGCTTTGTACCAAAACGAGCCCAAATTCTGTCTCTAACAATAATAATTAACAAGCAGCGGGGGCACAAGCGAGCTACCTACAACAGCTTACAAGAGAATGTAAGCAAAATGAAGTACTGAGTGACTATGAACGAGACACAGTAAGCGCAAACAGCAGTAGATATTTACGTTTACTGTACACTCAGATTCTGCGAATTGCACGGCCTTCTTGTCTTCTGGGGCTTTCAACATTCTTCACTTTTGTCCACCAACCAGGAATGAGGTTTATGAGGAAAGCCATGACATTATACATGCATCCACGCTCGTCTAGGGAAAGTGCACGTCGATAGTTCAAGAAGAGGCTCGTTCTAGACCGACCGCTGGTAGAGCGGAAAGGTCCTAGTAAGAAACCCCAAAAGGTAAACGAGAAATGACGTCGAGCACCTTTGCAGGATGGAAGCAAGCAACGAAGCAACTTCTCGAGAGGCACTTTGAATTTCTCACTCGGTAACAAAGTGGGATGTGTAGTCCTGCTGTAGTAACGTGAGGTTCAACTACTAGGCCGACTTTGAATTCAACAGCAATTGACGCAACTTTAATATTTCAGCGACTTGTTTGTCACTGCCAAATCGAAGTCAACTCCGAGATTCAACGTTCCAGCTCTTCGCTTTACGTATGCAGGTCTGGGGATGTGTGAGTCATGATCATGAACAGTTACACCGGAAGGGCTCGCACTTTGTTTCTTTACTATAATAATCATCAGCCTTGTGACAGTACTGGGAAATGTTATACGTGCCGGTGATCCTAAGCTTTTCAACAGCGAAGAGTTTATCCTTCCGTCCTTTTCACCTCGCCGGCAAGAAAAAATTACAGAGAACTGAGCTTCATAGTACTTCAACAACCACACACAAGTGTTCGTTTAAAGGCTTTTGGGCTCAACACGGACACCTAGAGATCAGAAAGATCTCCCAAGCATCTTCACAATGTCAAGACAGAATCAGACTCAAATTCCGAACCAATTCTTCCACCTCACAATCTACACACCAGTCAGACAATTTTAGATACTCAAATGTTTACGACTGCGTTTGACGATGGGCGACATTCAGAATCTCCATCGAATTTCCTATACATTTGGTTTCTCATGACATGATATTTATCTGAGTGAGCAACTGAGGCAGTCAATTCAAAAGTCGGACATGTATTCCAGATTCCATGGTTAACACTTGCAGTGCCTCGGACTTTGAAAAATTGACATGACAATGAAGCTTGGATTATTAGCAGGATTCGGAGCAGATTGGAATTTGCGAACCAGGTGAATCAGTCTGGGTTCAAGTCAATAACCCCCTCCCCTCTCATACATACATGGATGCAAGTAGAACTGGAGTCTCGTGGAAGTAGAAGTGCTTTGATTTACTATACTCTGATTTACTTTACTTCACTCCACTCTACTTTACGAAGCTATTGTAGGGAAGAAAACGCGTTGGATAACTTTGATGCACAATCTTGATGCAGATATTTCAACCCTTGAGTATGTTGATTTAGAAGACTTTCCCTCATGATGTCAAGGACTCCGACTCTTTAACTTGACCTGATTGATTGTTTACAGCAAGTATGAAGTTTCGATCAAACGAAGAGTCTCAATAGAAGCCAACAAATTTCATCTGCCATAATCTGCAACAAGTAATTTACAAAAAGTCATTTACTCCCACCTCAGTCGACTCTTCATCGGATTTCTGGAAGTTTTGGAGTGATTGAGTAAGTGAGTGAGAGGCAACTGGCCTCGGTCAATGGCTTCTATCAGAAATGCGATCTTAAGCGAATTGACCCGGTCATAGAAGCTGAATACGGTCCCAGCGGCACAGTTGTTGTAAGTGCTCTTCTATGACTCAGGATGTGTTTTCCTGCAAAACCACTGTGAGCCTAATTTTCAGCAGACATCAGTCATATGCAAAGCACCAAGGTCTACCTACTTTCGGAGACTGAGTTGAAAATGGCAGCTAGTAGTATACAACACCCCCTTCCTGTTTCGACATTTTGTAGGCTAAAGTAGAAGTCTCCACTGTGACTCGAGGCTTTCTGCATATTCTGTGCTTCTAAAGGAAGCATACGACATGAAATGGTTTGACAGATCTCTACAACTGAATGACATTTAAATGATATTTGGCTACAAAATCATTCACTTTAATACTGACGGATATTACAGGAGTGTCAGACTCTGAGATTAAAGGTGGTGGAAAGAAGCTCAAATGCATGGAAACATGCAAGAAGGATCAATGACAATTTTTAAGCAAGCTGGATCAGGTGGTGAAGATATGAAAATGTTCTTCAGCTGCTGATGCCGCCAGAGGTACTGCACGTTTTTCCTACGAGCAACTAAGAATCTTGGGAGTGCAGCAGATAGTTTGATACGAACGAACTGAGAGTTCCAAATTCTGACAGATCTCAGCTCTAGTGATTCTCAACTGTGTTGCCCTTTTTTCCAACTTCGATTGTCGTCAATGAGCCTCGAAGGCGAATGTTTTATAAATTATACATACGGTCCATGATTTTATGCTTATTGGCATCACCTTAGACCACAGTGTGTTCCAGAACCGGTCCTTGAGCATAATCACAAAGTATTTCTCCAACCGGTGCTTCAGTACAAAAGAACCAAGTTCCTCACCCGATGCTCGAACGAAGGAGAGCTCATTCGGTGTAGGTAAAATTGAGAGACCATCGTATGCTACTCAGATCTACAAAGTAACAAAAGTGAATCTATGGCGAAAGTACACCATTCTACCGTAGATACAGTCAACTCATGGGAATTGATGTAACAACCAACTACCCAACAACGAAGCAGCAACAGCAGTTGCAGCAGCTGCTGCTGTAAATAAGAGGTAGTTGACTTTTGACAGTTTGATCTCCGGAGCATTTTCCAGGAATTCTACGCGCACGTAGGTTCAGATCACAAGCTCGATGTTGAGGCCATCTGCTACCGTTTGGTTGTTGTGGACGAGGTGGACCTTTCTAAGACTCTGGACTGGATAGGAAGCTCATTATTATCTCAGCTCGGCCATACTTTGATCAGTCCGTTGAAATTTGAGGCCGATGGGTCTCTCAAAGTCTCAGGATCCAGTCTCCTATGCACAAGTACAGATCCAGGATTCAAGGCACGTGGGGAAACATAGTAACTTTGTCTCGTCGAAAGCACACCTTCTTGGGAACGGGATCACGTTAATCCATCCACTGCTCATAATTAGTCGACTCTGATTTTCATCTTCTCTAACACGTCCGCACCCGAGGAATTGACCAAAACATAGGTACGTCTGAATTGTTTATTAGATTTCCCAAAAGGTAAGAATATCTCTGTCCTTACAAAGGATCACGTCATTTTGATCATTTAGCGTAAGTACAATGACAGTGAATTTTGCGATTATGGATTTTGTCAGAGCAGCTCTTAGTTTTCAACTAAGAGCTGCTCTGACAAGATTTGTTTCTATTGTCTAATCCCCATCCATCGTACGCACATTGGAAAATCAGCAGATGCTCGTTACCACTGTAATTTCATATCTTCCCAAATCGAAGTGGATGGACTTTTTGTAGTCAACAATACAAACAATGATATAATTATCTTGCATAATTCCTACGTGTTGTTGTGTTCTGCATTATGTAATTACACTCACGTGTTTTACAATGTATAGCATACGTCAATTCAATCACATAAATGTTTCAAGTGTAAATAGCGATGTGTAGATATTTTGCAATACTACTGTCAACAAGCACTAAATATTCCTAGGAGTGGAATAAAGATCCAAACTTTCAAACGTTCAACTTTCGTGGACATTGTTATCTCTCTGACTTCATATTCTAATGTCTCTTGAATGAAACTCATGACTATAGAGGTGTTTACCTCAGGTCTAGATCATGTTTAGCCAATGAAAATATCCTCATCTCGATCTGAGAGCGTAAAGGTTGCTGAATACAAAATGATATGGAGAAAAAAGGTAAAACAAAACATATGACGGTGAAGCGGGGCACTTAGACTACATTGTAACATAAATTCTCTATTTTCTATACATTGGCACATGAACATTATAAGCATAGAAGATTAGCAGTAAGTTGACACTTTGTGTGCTGCTAGTCCATGTTGTGCTCTTCATGACGACGTACCTCGACCACAAATATTGATGATGTGCTGATGAAATGAAGGAACTGGCGGTCACAGTTGAATGGAGCTGATATGAGATCCTCAACTTCCCGATAAAGACATGAAGTCGTGGGTCTGCTGGAAAGCCCATTACTGTGGGTGACGCTAGAGCTCTCACTTCACGGTTTTGTGCTCCGCACAAGGATGGTGGCACGAAGAACAAGATAAATCATTTCATTCAGCTCCGAGACTGAGACAGTGCAAATGCTGGTGATGACATCCACCTTCGCCTTTTCGCGGTCAAAGCCCTGAGCACCCCAAATGTCAAGCCTTGTTGCACTTGGGAAACAAACTGATCATTGTTGAAGGCTCGGTTGACGTTTGTGTCCAGGAAGTAAGTAGTTAGTAGTTAGAAGTTGTAGTAGGTTTGAGCAGCTCATCAACGCCAAAAGAGGATTGAAGCGTACACCCCCAAAAGTGTCACAAATTTCCTTCTGGGATCAAAAGGCGTTCACACGTCGCCGATAAACTCGCGGCCTTAACTTCAACTCGACATCTACGACTCGTCCCCATTGACTGGACGCTGAGAAAGTCCAAGAGCTGCGGTGCTGCCTCTTACCCCGCTGATGATTAGGTGCAACCATGCAAGATTTTTCGCACTGCTGCTGCCACTGTAGGCAAGACATGGCAATGACCTCGTCCGCGGTTCTACTGCTTTCCTGTTCCATGCACTACAATCAGAAGGAACGGCCATGCCACATTTGTAGCAGCAAGAAGTGGCTACAGGCAATCCGCCCCTCCATGAGCGGACAAGGCTCTCGTCCTCCACACCCTTTTGCCAAATTTACTTCAGATCATTAAGTGTTGGATGGAAGGAGGGAAGGAGTCTTGATTTGTCTTACTACGCATTTTCTGCCCTCCACCCCATCTCCCATATCTCCAATAGTCCATCTCTGTCCAAAGTTTCCCGCTCTCCGGTGTCATGATGTTTACAACATGACATTAAAATTCGCCGAATGTTTTTCATTTGCAGTAAAGAAATAAAGGAAGAGTGGACCAACTAATGAAGCAAAAGAAAAAAAAAGACCTGGTCAAGCCACACAGTTCCTAGCCTAACGTCTAACATGGAGTTATGCTCCAATAGCATGCCGATGGTGCAAATCACCTATTGAAACTCAGGTATGAGAAACACCTAGCCTAAGATAGTCCACACAAGTTAAAGAAATCAGTCTATATTACCTTATATAAGTAGGATTTGCTCATTGTCTCAATATTTTTCCAAGGTAAGCATCCTTGATAGCATATATATGTGTATACCCATAGCTAGAATAAAAGTGCTATTTGCCTCCCCTTGAACTTGCAGATTTGATTGCT